TAGTATATTAACTTAGAAAATTTATTGAGTCTACTGCAGCAATCCAACAAGAGACAAGAAAGAAAACCAAAGAAGCAGTTTGTAAAATCGCAGAATCGTTTAACACTATAAATATGGGCCTACCTACTCAAAAATCAAACCAAAGAAACGCCTCCAATTCAAGTCAAGGAAATATTCTCAAGCAAAATCAGAGAAACATTCTCAAGACAAGTCAAAAAAATGTTCTCAAGCCAAAAGAAGATAACATTCCCGAGTCAAGTCAAGAAAATGCTCCCAATTCAACTAGGGAGAAAATTTTAAAGCATAAAAGTCTTCCACTTGTTCGTAATAATACTGGTAGTTTTGTTAAAACACGGACACAATACAATAAAGAAAATATCTCTTTAAGTGAAGCAAACCAAATCGTTAAACACAGTACTAAAGTCACTAAACAAACACAGACCTCCTATTCTATTACACAAAAATTGGCAGTGGTTGATTATGCGGTACAGCATGGAAGAAATATGGCAGCAGTTAATTTTAATCTTGATGCCAGTATGGTTGGACACTGGATAAAAGCAAGCTCAAATTGGACAGCAGAAACCAATAACAAAAGCAAGCGAATTGGTTCTGGTCAAAGAGCTTTTTACTCTGAGGCTGAAAAACGCTTATATACGTGGATAATCGAACAAAGAAAGCAGGTATTAGCTGTAACTTACAAGATTATGCAAAACCGAATGATGGAGATTTTGCAACAACCAGATATGGTAGCTCTTTATGATGATTCTGCAAAGACATTCAAAATGTCACATCGTTGGACAGTCGTATTTATGAAAAGAAATAAATTAGCACTGCGACGACGTACAAGAATTTCACAAAAACTTCCTGAACAAACTCAGGAGCTGTTAGAAAAATTTTATGAACATATTACTCGACTTAAAAGCCTAAAGTTTTTTGAATTGGGCAATATCCTTAATATAGACGAAACACCTGTTTGGTTTGATATGGCTGGTAACTTTACTGTCAATCTGAAAGGTGAAAAAACAGTTCATATTCGTGCTATGGGTAATGACAAAAATAGATTTACGGTTGTTTTAACATGTGCTGCAGGCATGTTTTTATTTATTTATTCATTTTCATCTAGTATAATGTTCCATTTACTAATGCTATTATATATTTATTATTGTAGATGGAACAAAACTTCCCCCGATTTGCATTTTTAAGGGAAAGCGATTAACACGTAAAGAGCAAAAACGAATTCTAGCTGGTATCGTAGTTTGGTTTCAAACCAATGGTTGGATGGATACCAAATTAATGATAAAATATGTGGACTATCTTCACGAATTAAGAATAAAAAATGGAACTAGAAATAAACCGACAATGCTAGTGTATGATTCTTTTAAGAGCCATCTAGATGATTCAGTTAAAAGTAAGTTTGGTGAGTGCGGTTTTGATCTGGCTGTAATTCCCGCAGACTTAACTTGCATATATCAACCGCTTGACGTTGCTATCAACAAACCGTTCAAAGATCACTTGCGCAAAGAATGGTATAATTGGATAGAAAAATGTGGTGCTGGAAATATTGCTGCAAGAAATCTTTGCTGTGCTCGAATAGGTGATATATGCACATGGGTTAAAAATTTTTGGGAAAAACTTCCTAATGAAATGATTGTAGAATCTTTTAAAACTTGCAAAATTTCCAATAATTCAAATAAATCGAATTCTGATTTAGAAGTTATTGATCTTTGTGATACTGACAATGAATCGAATTCTGATTTGGAGATCATTGATCTTTGCGATACTGACAATAATAATGATAATATCAGAAGGAATAAACATAGTGAATTCATTCATTATCAAGATTCTGCAGAAATAGAAAGTTCTGCTGCAATAAATAATCTTGGATATGACTTTCAAAATAGAATTGAAGTCGATAATGTTGATGAAAGTGATGACATTGATAGTGATGGTTATGTTAGTGATGATTAAGATGTTAATGATGCATAATTAAGGTAATATTGCATTTGTATTTTATTTTAATATCATAAATTGTAAAATATTGATGAATTTATTATTAGAGTGATACGAATTTTACATTGCATAATTAATTGGGATATTATTCGAAGTCAAATATGCAACAAGAGTCAAAGTTATGTAGAATATGCAGTAAGGCAAAATCAAAGTTATGTGGAATATGCAGTAAGGCTGTTAGAGCCAAGAAGCGAAGAATAAAAAAAAATGCTGTTAGAAAAAAAAAAAAAAGAAGAAAGTAACAATTACCGGTGCTTTATTGAGTGGATTATAGCTTAGAATGCATTAAAAATATAATGAGTCGTTTATTAAATTTGACTCTTAATTATGCAATTTAATAAAATAAAGTTATCCTGCAGTAGCTTTTAAATATCTGTCATATGTGCTTGAAACATAAATTTTAATTATTTATTTATGTTAATATAAGTATACATTATAAAATTAGAGGTTTTCTATTTTTGCTTCAGGGGGTGCTTATTTTCGGGTATGTATGAATTACAGGGGTGCTTATTTTCGGGGATGCTTATTTTCGGAGGAATATGGTATATACGATTGGTTATTTGATCTTGCTAATCACTCACGTGGACTTAAAGTTATCACTAACATTACTTGATTATCGTTCGCTTTTACCTTACCATCCTTGCTGAGATATTCCTAATAGTATTACCTGTAGTTGCATCATCCATTATTACCTCCCTTAATATTAAATCCTTTGTTTTATAATGTAATATTGTTTCAAGAGACTTTCTTTCATCTCTTCCAATTTATCATTATCTTTCTGTATACTGTTAGAGTTAAATTGGCATTCAATATACATAATTCTATTAAGCTCTTTCAACAACAGTTACAATGTCTAGGGTATGTATTTCCACAAACTGTCCCATGTTATATTTCATAAAGTTCTGTATACTCTTGTAATGTTATATACCGTATTTGATTATAAATTCTGTATACTATTTTTTATAAGAACCGTTATATAAAAACACTATCAGGACTATGCATAATATTGTTAGAACTGCATTACTATAAATGCTGAGACACTTGAAAAATGACTGAAATGATAAGTTTTTGATATCAATAACTTATTGATTCTATATGATAACTTGTCGATTCGGTTACTGGAAAATATAAAAGCAGCTGAAGTATTACCTATATAGAGTCTTGCTAACAAAAATCAAAAATTTTTGCAAAATTCAGATAAATTTTGGCACGGGATATGAATGTTACAAGAATATGCAATGTCTCTCTAATTTTAACACCTTAACACCAAATTTTTATTTCATACACTTAGTTTTTTTACAAAATTAGATTTCCCTTTTGTTTTGTATTACCTGCGCAAATAAGTAAAATGGGGTGACCCAGAGTATAAATTTTATGCCAGGTTCAATTTCTAGCTAAATAGAAACTACTACAGAATCACTAACAAAAAATCATACTTACGTGAGGGTCTGCAGAAATCATCCAATAGGTGATCATAAGAAAATTCATTCATTTTTGAAGGAGTTAGAGAAAATTGCTTGTTTTTGAAAATTAGAAACCACCTTTGAACTCAGACTAGTTTGCAGACTTCGGACCAGACCCAGACCGAACCTACAATTGAGTCTAAGTCTGGTCTGAAATCTAAAATTAGTAAAATTTAGAGTCTGAGTCTGGTCTAATCCCAGACCAGACTCAGACTGGACCAGACTCGAACCAGACCTAGAAGCATTAGACCCAACTATGAGGATCAAAAATAGGTCACAACCCTTCTAGGCCATCTGAATTGGTAGTTTGAAAATTCAGAAAATACAAAAGATAGTCTGTAAAGTGGATACTAGGGTTTGGGTGAACTTTACAAGGGCAGAAATAAATAATGATAGTGGTTTCAGCTCACAAGTACTTGTTCTTAGACTTGGCATAAGTTATTGAAATCTAGATTAGCCAGATTATAGGTATAGAAACTCTAGCAAGTTTATCTTGAGGATAAATTAGTTCTAGATCAGGATATTTCTTATAGCAAGTATTGGTTTCTTATAAAGATATAGTAACGCAGAGGGTTTAAATAGATAATTCCTAGTTAGATTAGAGCTCTGATATTTATTAACTAATATTTATTTACTATAGAGCTTTACCTTCTCCTTCCAGGTAATATTTTTATTAACCAATTAAATTTTAGTATTATATTGAGGTAAGATTTGGCTTTACTTCCCACCCCTAAAATATTATCTAATAAATATCAGCATCCTTATAAGTATAGCATCTAGTGTAGAATCTTTGGGCAGACTACTTAAATAAGCAATTAAAAGTTGTATATATAGCTAGTTGTACTCTCCAAAACCATGTACCAAATGAGTAGTGGCTGACTCGATCAGCTTAGCATATAAACTAATAAAAGCAACTGACTATGAGATCATTTTGATATTAAAAAAAAAAATAAATACTAATGTAGAGTTTAAACTAATTATTTAGTAGTATTATTCTTTAAACTATAATCCAGGTAAATTTGTTTGAAAAATTAAAATATATTTAGTATTTTTTAAATAAAATAATAATTTATTAATAATATGAGATATATATTTATTATAGAATTTTTTTTTTTTTTTTAAATGTTAAGGTGACCACTTTGGGGTTTGGCATATTTTATTTGCAAATTGGATCAAGCACTAGCTTGGTCTTGTTGATCTTACTTAATTTTGTTATACTAATGAGAGTATAATTAATTACAATACAACTTTAGTTATTGTCTATCTAAAAGTTCTGCTATATTTATTTCTATCTATAGTTATCTATCAATTGCTATATTTAAGATCTGCTTGTAGATCCTCTATTCAAACTTTCTGATTAACTTCACACCATTATGTTATTTTCATCACTATCTAACTGTCACTAAAGCTTTTTAGGACTACTTTATTCTTGTAGTAAACCTGCTAGAGCTTTCCATACCCATAATCTGGCTAATCTAATCTTTAGTAATTTACTCTAAATCTAAGGACAAGTACTTGTGAGCTAAGGCTGCTACTATTATTGCTACTCTTGCAAAGTTTACCCAAACCCTAGTACACACTTTATATACTATTACTAGTACTCCCAACTATCTTAAACTAGATTCTAATTATTTGCCTGATATTTATTTGTCTAATAATTACTTTCTTAACAACTATTTGCCTAACAATTATTTGTCCGATATTTTTATTTGCCCAACAATCACTTGCTCAACACTTTTTTTTTATTTATAATCACTTTTTTAATATTTTAAAGATATCAGACAAATGATTGTTAAGCAAATAAAGATGTCAAGCAAGTAATTGTCAGACAAATGGTTGTCAAAAAAGTAATTGTTAGGCAAATGGTTGTCAAAAAAGTAATTGTTAAACAAATAAATATTGGACAAATAATTAAGACCTTCTTAAACTACCAATTCAGATAGTCCAGAAGGGCTATGACTTGCTCCTGATCTCTACAGTTGAGTCTTTTTTTCTTTAGTACTTCTCCAGTAATCTGTTTGGTAGAGTACCTTGCTAAATACTTCAGTCTTATTCAGTTTTTCTAATGATAATCCTTTACATAGTACTGTTAAAGATCTGTACTATATCTTTACTTAGGTCTTGTCAAGCAAATATCTATTTTTCTGGTTCCTTGAATTAATATGATCCGAGAATATATTTGTATAACTTATATATTGCACAAATACCTCATAATCTCCTAGTCTTGTTAGTGCTACTAAGGTTATAGTGATCTTATTCTAATTGATTATCAAAAGACAATAGCTGTTATACAAATAGAAAATATTTGAAATTCATCACTATGTAGGTTTCGAACCTTCTATCTAACCAACATATTGCTTGAGGTGTAACAACTTAACTACTTTACTAAATTGCCATATCCCTTATAAAATATATTCTTAAAAATATATTTTATAAACTTTATTATAAAAATTTTTTAAAATTATTAGTAAACTTTTGAATAATAAAACTTTAAAGTTTTA